AATGGTTTTGTTCTGTTACTAGAGTTCATGCCTGATTGGACCAAAGATTCTGGAATCCTTAGCATGTGGCTTGTAAAGGAATCCACAGCAGCAAGAAAAATCTCACCTGATTGCTTATTTCCTCTGCTTCCTGGATCCTTCCAGTTAGGGCTAGCCCTACCATTAGGGCAATGGGTCTCATGGCCTCAAGTGGCAGGTCCTGGGTGTTATAGGCAGCTTAGACCTGCTGAAACCCTGAGCAAGGAGGACCCATAATCTGGTCCTCAACCTGTCCTTGCAGGACCCTGTGGTGACAGCAGTGCTGGGCAGGCCCTAGCGGTTCATAATCGGTAGTAAGGCCCACTGAATACAGGAATGCTTGTTTCTGGGTGAACTAAGGGCAGGCTGTAAGGATTTAAAAATGGGGGGCGGGATAGGAATCAGGACAGGGACATAGACATAGATTCTTTTAAGTTTAATTCATTCTTTCTAATTTCACCATCTCCTACCAGCTCAAATCTATGTTTTAAAAAAGGACTACACGTGGATCATTCCTGTGGCAGTAAAATAATTATATTAATGTGCAGCAAGGTACCCACAGAATCTCAATACTTGCACTGTAGACTAAGATTTCTCTTTAAGCTGAATTTGCCAGCATCCCTTATCAGCATAATGGACAGCACCTTCTTTATTATAACTCGTCTTCTCCATTGTCACAAATGTTCCGGGCATGATATAGACAAGTTAAGGACCTGAACCATAGTTCGAAAGAGAGTCAAACCTGCACTTAAATTATTGACAGGGGAGGCTGGGAGAATGTAGTCACCCTAGTGCTGAAAGTGCTACCATGCATGCTACAATACAGTTGTCATATCTGCCTTCTGTACACACTGAGCAATAAACAGTTACCTTTGGATTGAATGTACCTGATAATGATTCCTTTTAAACTTAGGCTGCATTCGTCACCAGGCATTGATATGTGGTTCCTTAGATGAGGATATAGTTTGTTGTTTTGCTTTTATTTGCATTTTTTAAAAATTCAAAGTATCTAAAGTATCTTATGTTGTAAGCCACCCCGAGTAGACATGGTCTAGAGGGGCGTGGTATAAATGTAATAAATAAATAAATAAATAAAATAAGTTTTTGAAAACACCACTTGTCTAGCATACATATATATGAGCAAACAACTAACAAAATTCAGCAGAATATTTATTAGAGGAATCAGATTGTTTGCTTAAACTTACAATTTGGTAATGACAGCAATTATCTATCTTTATTATTATCTAAATAAATATATTATTAATATGACATGTTAACAGACAGTCGTCAAATATAATAAATAATAGATGATACATATTTATACAACATACTAATTGCTATATGTTAATGTTATACTAGATATTGATGATGATGATAATAAAACAGAGGCACTTCACATTTTTATAGAGCTTTTAATTGTTCAAAACACTTGTTGCGGTTTCTAAAGACTAATTGTTGTAATCTTTAAAATAAGCTTATACATAAAACATGTCAGTATTGTTATAATCTTCCCATACTGGAGATGGGTGTGCTGAGGGGGAGAGGCAGGCAGGCGGACAGACAGACAGACAGGAAGACAGGCAGAATAGCTTGCTGAAGGCTGCAACATGAGTTTGTGGCAGAAATGAGTTTAGACCAAAGTATTTCCAAAGGAACCAAATGTAGCCAAAGGCCTGCCTAGCACAGCATCCTATTTCCTATAGTGGCTCACAAGATATATTTTGGGAAACCCACAAGTAGGGTGTGAGGACAAAGTGTTGTCCTGCTGCTGTACTAGTACTCAGCAGCATACTTCTGCTGACAGTAGCTAGAGCTAGCGTACAGTATGATGGGTAGTCATTTAGAGGCTAGTCGTGGCCAGTTCAAGACACTCTGCTGACTGAAGCAGAAGATGGTGCTTCCATTATATACACAGTAACTGAAAGGACCAGCAGCTGAACCTTCTTTCATCACTGGCAATGAGATAGGGTCCTCCATAGCACCTGAGGCAACAGGACAGCTTGGGAAAAGCTATGATCTCAAGAGGAAAATCTGTACTGCTGTCCCCAGCACCCTCTGTCTCATGGTAGGGCTGGACCAGTGACCAGGAAGCTAAGAATGGACAGGCTTTACCTTCAAAACCTGTCCATTTCCTCTTTTACATCCATCTGAGCTAAATTCCCTCATTCGATTTTGTGGGATCTAATTTCAGTTTCACTAAGGAATGTTTGAAGGTGCATATCTGTCCTGAATCTGTCACTGTTCAGTTTCATTTGATCATCTTGGGTTGTTGGGTTATGAGACAAGAAGAAATTCTCAGAAATGTAAAGCTCTGTAGCCTTGAACCTGAAGTCATTGAAGTACAGTAACAGAGGCAGCATATCTTGCTGTGTGACCTCCCAGAGATAGAGAGAAGATTCTGGTACCTGTGACCAATAGAGGGCAGAGTAGATTATTCAACACTCACTCAAAGCATGTTCATGTCTTAGGCACAGCAAAAAGCAATCTAGTCAAAGCACATAGCCAGATATCCCAAGGCCAATCAAGTTATTTTGACTCCTGAGGCAGAAAACCCCATAAACACCATTCCTGGTCTCTGGTGGTAAAATAATAATCTGTATATTTTTTTTTAAGATAGAAAGATTTGAAATATAATTTTATCACGGGGGCACTAGGAATTTCTTGGATTGAGAAACTGACTACTGAAGATGTACTAAAATGAATGAATAACTACCAAGAAACCATAAAACACATGAAGCACAGAAGTTCAGAATCTTTTGGCCACCTAATGAGAAATGATTATTAATAGCTGAATGAGCAGCTGTGTAAATAAATAAATAAATAA